CGCCCGCCACATTTTGCAAGGTGTTCCCATTCCATTTGATGTTCGATCGGCAGATGAAAATTGTGCAAGCAGGAAAATCCGTTTCGCGCGTCATTCCAAGGTAAATATGAACAATGACAGATAGTGAATGCTCAACTTCACTAACACATCAACCGACACACAAAAATCTCTTATACTACAGAAGCTAAGCAAAATTGCAGTTTCTCTCAAAAACAAAGGGCAAACAAAAATTTAAAAAATTTTCGAGATACTATTTTTTTGTCGACCTTTCTACTTCATGTTTTATTTCGCTCTTTATTTATCTTCTTACCATGCAATTTTAATGAGTTTCCTTTTTTAATTATTTTTTTTTTTCGATAAAATGTTGAAATTACCACTGCACTTTTCTTTGCCGTTGACCAGCTATGTAAGTACGTATGTACGTGCACAAGGTGGTCCGAAATAAGTAAAGTCGAAATTTTAATGCTCTTACCACCTAGGATTGTGCTATGTCGAAAAAAAACTCCTTTTTTATTTTAAAATCAAAAAATATTTAGAGGTCGCTCAAAGTGCTCATAGTTTTCCATGTGTTCTATATGGCCAAAAAAAAAAAGTTTTCGTAGAAATGTTATAGAATTTTTGAAAATCAATATTTGTTAAATTTGTTTATTTAACCATTCTTTAATACTAAAGATTTTTCATTTGTCCCGACATTGCATTTTCTTGCACCTATAAAATATATATAGTTACTATGAGGAAATGGTTATATAAAGAATTGGATATAATTTCTGGAAATCCCCTGAAGAGAAACAGAGTTATCGATTGAAAAATATTAATTTTCAAGAATTCTATTCCATTTCTACGAAAAGTGTTTTTTTTTTTCATGTAAAATACGTGGAAAACTTTGAGCAACCTCTAACAGCCAGTTTCACCATATTCATCTAAGTGAAAATTACTTTGATTTACGAATTTTCGGTTTCGCCAATCCATTTTAATTAGTTTTTAATTTTTATTTAAGTGAACACCTATGCTCTTCACTTAAATATAAATTAAATCAGATTAAACACACGCAGAGGTGTTACACGTTTAATCACCTGATCATTGTGTATCAGCTGCTTACTTTTATACCAGCCCTGCTTTTACAACACAGCGTGTCAAAGCTTTCGAAAGCTCTAAGTACAAGCGAAAGCCTAGTTTTTTTACAGCCACTTTTAACTCACTTAAACAAATTGCTTATTGCAACAGAAAATAATTTGATTGAGAATTAAATAAAAAATCCTAGGTGGTGAGAGTATAACAATTCTGACTTAAATTTTTCACATGTATTTTTAGACCACCCTAATATCCTCATATCTACATATCGTTACCCCTAAGGGCGAAGAGATGCAAAGTACATTTTTGAGATTATTCAGAAGAGACGAAAAATAGATGTAGTCTCGTATTACCTTCCATTCTGCATCAAAAACTAAATTTAAAAAAAAAAAACGCTAAGCTAAGCTTTTCACCTTCAGGTAGCAATATGTAAGTTTATATTAAATTGTATGTATTTTTATAGAGTTTCGGTGGAAAATTGTTCGATACTAGAAGTACTTGAGGCCATACGTCCGCATCTACAGTTGAGCTTCGAGAATATTTTATCGCACATCAATACGATTTATGTTCTGCAGACGCGTCAAGGTGCAATGGGAAAGCATGAACGTTATCTGCGGTTGAAGGTGAGTCTCAAACAAATGCTCATTTAGTAAAAGATTTTCTTATTTTTTTTATAAAATGATACAGAATCACTCGTAATATCATGCTTTATATTAGATTTTAAAAAATTTTTATTAAGATCGTGTGTCGTTTCTGCATAAGCAGACAATATGCATATTTTTTTTAACATTTTCGGAACAAAATAAAAACTTTAAACGGGTGACCTGAAAAATCACGTTATTTTAAGTTAAGACAGTCTTCAAGTGAGCGATATGTTTCATTTTATATTTTTGGTGAGAAGTAAGTAAAAGATGATTCAAAGCTTCTCTTTCATTTGGAATTAATTAAATTTTTTTTACCAAAAATACTCAATTTATAAAGTCGTAACATTAAAATTAA